GTCGTAGTATAGTATAATTAAAAAGTCGATAAATTTATATTTACAGTCGTGGTAACTTAATTTAAATCGACGATTTTTTTTGTAATTAACCGTCGTAGATTCCTTTGAATTTATGCGTCGCTGAATAAGAAAATTGGGTCGTGTTTATTAATTAATTAACACGGCGTCTTATTTTTATATCGTCGTCTTTACTTTCTGCGGCGGTGATTTCATAGATGTAGTCGTTGTTTTTAGGTTCAGATTTTAACTCTGAAAAATACATTTGTAATAAGACGACGCTTTTTTAATTTGGTGCGTCGTGGTTTAAAAATATCTATACGTGTACCGGTTTTTTAGGTGTGTAAAGTATGTTTCTACGACGGGTTTATATTACCGTCGTCTTTTAAAAAACAACGACGGTTTTTTGATCTACCGTCGTTGTTTACTGGTCGTCTGTTGCCCTTTTTGTAGTAGTGATTTAACAACATAATATAAATATAATTTCACAAAACAATTTAAACATAATGTAATTAATTTTATATTTTTAAATTATAAAACGACGAAAATACCTTCTCAATCGTTCTCCACCAATCGCTAATCATATATAATATCCCTATACACAACGAAATTAATGGTGTTAGTATAAATTTACATTAATATTTTTACACTAACGAAAAAAAATACATAACTGACGAACGTAGTAGAGGTAGAGGGAATTCCACGTATAAAGGAAATGAACTTAACAAGTTTGGTTGCCGAAAAACGTTTGAGACAGAGGGAGAGGAGGGAGAGGCAAGCTGCAATTTGTTTTTGCAGTTTGCCTATAACATGGCTGAGCATGACAATGTATTGGACGAAGCTTTTTGCGCGACGAACATACATTCGTCGCGCTAAGTATCCATATTGTCGCTCGAAAAGCAACAAATTTGCGCGACGAAAGCTCTCTGTCGTCACTCAAATGTCTTTACCGTCACGCAACAGTTAATTTTTCGATGCAAATGGATGTGCCGACATCCATTTTTGCGTGACGACTATTTTTTGTTCGTCACACAAAGCTTCGTCGTGCAAATGCGGAATGTCGTCGCGCAAACAGGATCTTGTCGTCGCGCGAGTATTTGGCGCATAAATTGTTCGTCGCGCACGTATTTGGCGCCAAATACAATACAGTCGGCCCTTTTTCCCGCTTTTTTTTTGCGCGACGAAATGATTCATCGTCGCGCGATCTAACTTCTTGCGACCAAAATCTTCGTCACGCAATATTCCCCGCCAAATAAACTAGTCCATTGTTTTTCTTCTTCACTTTACGCGACGTAATGTACCGTTGTCGTGCTACGTCTGTTTGCGCGACGATAATTGTCGTCACGCAAGTTTTTGACCCCAAAATGCTGGTTCGTGGGTTTTTTTGCTACCTTTATGCGACGGTATTTGATGTTGTCGTGCAAAGTATTTTTGCACGACGAAATAATTTGGTCGCGCAGTTTTGCGCTACGCATTTGTGTTTCCGTCGCGCAAGGGTACTTTAAGCAACGAAGTTCTCTTCGTCGCGCAAACAGTAAAATGTAGTAGTGTTATTATTGTGCAGACACCATGTATTTTATACTTCTCCTCCTTGCTTTCCTCCATGCTTACCGTGCGCGGTAATAATGCAGACGTTCGGATAAGCTCAAGATAACAACATAAAGAATCTTCAAACAAGTGGATTTTTAAAAGGCTAGTCAAGTTGTGCTTCCAACCTCAAGCAACAAAGCAAAGAGCCAAGAAAAAGAAAATTAACTAGGGTAGTCTATCTAATTGGTTTCAATGAAACTTTTGATCACATGCAGAACAACGGAGGACCCCTCTTCTCCATGCACGCTAATGTAAAGGAGGACCGGAAAGACATTTTCAAGGGTCCATATATGATTGTGGCAAACTTCTGCAAAACATTGTACATCAAATTTGGAGCGTGTGCCAGCATACGGCCACTGCAGCCGAGATGCAAATGATATCGGCTGGATAATTCTGATATTTATGTATTTCTTCTTCTTCTTCTACATCCCTTTAGTATATAAATATATGTCGAGTATTATTCAGCCAAAGTATTTCCTCTTCCAAATATACCGTTATTGACACTCAAAAACATTTCTAATTCCCTTTTACTCATATTTACACGGTGTCGGCATTTAAACTGATAAACTATACGTAATGGAAAAGTTTATTAGATCAAATACAAAACATACGATCTTAAGGTAGATATTTTGTGCTTGCATCTCAAGTGGTTAAGAGGGTTTCCTTCTGGCGTATAATGTTTTGTATTCAATTATACCCTCTTCCAATAGACATGTATTGATAAGTTTTGTTGAAATTGAGAAAGTTCTATTTGCTCGATCTATTTACCCTTTTTTTTTTGTCTACTACTTATTTAATAAATTTAAAATAGGCTATGATAAACCTAAAAAAATCGAAACTATGAACAAATATTTTTGACAAACATGACCAAGAATTATTGTTAGTTTGATGACACAAAAAAGATTGTGGAAAACCCAAGCAAGTAGTAGGAGATGAACAATCCCCATAAAATCGTTTTTATTTCTACTAGAGGTGCAAGTTGGATTGGAAATTTCAATTTCAGCATATTCCAATTCGAAATTTTCCAATTTTGGCACTTTTAAATCAAGTAAGACATTCAAAAAACTTTTGAAATCCAAAAATTCCGAAAAAATTGGATTGGAATCGGAACGTAGCTCAAGAGTCTGAAAATTCCGAATTCCTATATATATTGGGGTTTCAATTTTCAACCTATTTTAACGTTTCAAATGGTTAAAGCATGTTTAAAATTAGAACAATTTTCCAAAGTTTTCCAAAAAACAATTCTGAAATATGTAAGTTTCGTAGTTTTCCAAATATTTCGAAAATTTAGTGTTTTTCCGAATCGAAATGGATGTTGAAATTCCAATATTATTTTAAACAGAAAATTAATTCGTTTTAGGATTTGATGTTAACAAGCCATAAATCTAGAGATTCATTTCGGACAATTAAACGTTTCATATTTTTTAAGAACCAAAAAAGTTATGCCAGAATAACAAATGCCA